GAGATAAGGAGGAATAAAAATTGTATAATTTTCTTAGTAAGTAGTATTACAGAAACTAAATAAATTAGTTAGTCTGTTGCGGAACTAAGTTATATTCTGTTATTTCTGAATAATGATAATGATAGTAAAGTAAAAATCTAATGCCTACTTTAATAATATAGATGAAAATGTAAATAAAGTAGCAGCCAATGAGCTCAATAGTTAATTTCCCATACTTAAAAGTGATTTTATGCTTTGTTGCCCTTGGATAATGTAGTTGAACACATCTAGTAAACAGCCGCGGTGGCCGAGTGGTTAGAGCATCGAACTTAAGCACTGTGTCGACAATCTGAGCTCGGGAGCTGAGTCACCGGCCGGCGCGTTGTTCCCCTGGGCAAGGAACCTCGATTATAATCTTACTCTTTACAATGTTTCGAAAAGTCTTCAAACACCTAGAATTTTAGAAATATTAGAAAGTAAAATTTCGTCATGTACCTTACCTATGACATGCATTATGTTCTCCTTGAGTGTTTTTGGTGTACTTGTATGTCAAGCGTTGCTAGGAACTTGGGAAGACAATAGATACTCAAAGAGTTGTGGCGTCGACTCTCAACTCATCGCAGTGCGAAAAAGTTATCCATTCAAAGCACTAGAGCAAGAGGAAGAAAATGAAAGTGTATAAATCTCTCTCTCTCTCTCTCTCTCTCTATATATATATATATATATACAGATGTATATATATATGTATATATACATATATGAATATGTACTATATACATATACATATATGAATATATACTATATGTATATACATATATATATTCATATATATATATATATATATATATATATATATATATATATATATATATATATATATATATATATATATATATATATATATATATATATATATGTGTGTGTGTGTGTGTGTAAATGTGTATATATATGATACACACACACACACGAATATATGCATATATATATATATTATAATAATATATATTATATATATATATAATTTATATATATATTATATGTAATTATTATATGTATATATATATATATCATATATATTATTATATATATATATACTATATTTATATATATATATACTTAAATTATTTTATCATAGATACAGATGTATATATATATATATATATATATATATATATATATATATATATTTATATATATACATATATTTATACGATATATATATATATATATATATATATATATATTATATCAATACTATTATTATATATATTTATATACTATCATTATGATATATATATATATGTGTGTGTGTATGTGTGTGTTGGTGTGTTGTTGTGTGTGTGTGTGAATATATATTCTGTGTATGCGTGCGCTTTGATACAAAACATATACATATTTATGATATATATTGTATTTATATGATATTATATGTATAATATATATTATATATACCATTTTTATATATTTATATATATTATATATTATATATTATATATATATATATATATATATATATATATATATATATACATATATATATATATATATATATATATATATATATATATATATATATATATATATACTTATATACATATATATATATATATATATATATATATATATATATATATATATATATATATATATATATGAATATATACATATACATAAATAAATATATATATAAATATATTCATATACATATATATATATATGTATATATATATATATATATATAATATACTAATAATATATATATAATATATATATATACATATATATATATATATATATATATATATATATATATATATATATATATATATATATATATATATATATATATATATATATTTGTATGTGTGTGTGTGTGTGTGTGTGTGTTTCTGAGTTTGTGTATACTGTACATTAACAATTACACAACACAAAGATTAGATTCGTAAGTCCCCTCGACGCGAGAGAGCTCACCCATTTCAATGAGATAAAGGCGCGAAAGGTCAGTGAAAACGTCTTGATCGGGTTGTAGTTCAGAGAGTACTTCAGCGGGCGCTCTGCTCGGTTGCCGGGGAGGCTCTGGCCCTTTCGAGGAGCAGACACGCCGCAGAGGAGGAGGATCACGTGATCCAGTCCTGATCGGAAACGAGGCCGCCGAGGAACTGCAGCCGAGGAAGGAGGACTTTGAATCTACGTAATTCATATCAACAGACAGCTACGATTGTTATCAGAATAAAAGATTCTCGTATTTGTTACGCAACAGGTACAAGAATATGCACACATCGCTCTCTTGCCCTCTCTCCACCTCTGCCTTTATCTATAATCTCTCCTTCTCTGTCTCTATCTGTCTATAAATCCATCTGTCAATCTATCTACAAATATTTGTACATACACCCAAATATAACTTTACATATTTACATACATAAACAAACTAAATAAAACACAAAAAAAATAAAACTCAAAAATAAAAAACAAAACACAACACACAAAACACACACACCCACACACAAACAAAAAAAAACAA